CCAAAGAAAGAGAAATGGCTCAATTGAAGGAGCGTCTGGGTCGACTCATGGAGACCTACGAGACTAAGTTCGGACAATATGTCGCTATCATGACTGAGCTCAACGTCCACTCCCAGAGGTAGTGAGACTCCTCTGAGACTCCATACCAGAGTGCGTGCAGGGATTGTTACGCCGACAAGCGACTAGAGATTTATGAAGAGATGGCACTTGAAGATGAGCCACTTTTGATGGATGCACTTGCTGATGCTATCAGCTTCACTAATCTGGCGAGGAACGCTTATCTGCTCTCCGCCTTTAAGAAAATTGCCGCACTATACGGCCGAATGCGACCCCATGCTGAGGCCATCCGATCGATCAGGGAAGGAAAAGTGAGCCGTAGGGGACTGCTCACGTTTTGATTGAACCGCTTCGTTCACTAGCTCTGGCAGTAGAATCGCTTTAAAACGTTGAGGTGTAGTTGAAATGCTCGAGAGTAGCCGTCACCCATGCTGGACGGCTACTTGGGTCATCCAAGGGAAGCTGAATGGTGTTCTCAGATGCTCACTGCACTACGAACGCAGACGGAAATTGATGAAGACGCGATTGCTCATGACGGGACTTTGGAAGGAGAAGACACTGAAGTCGATTCGGCGGCTACTAGTATGTTGACCTCAGCAGTGGGAGGGAGCCAGATCGGTGTAGATGAGCAGGAGGACCCATCCACACCCGTTGAAGACGATCCTATTGTCACGCCTTCCAACAGAAGTGACAGCGACGAACCATATACGCCTCGTGAGAACCTTCACATGACCACATCCAGTGGAAGTGATAGCGAGGAACCAAAGACGTCTATTGGAGATCATAACAGTACCACACCTTCGATTGAAAATGGTGTCGGCGAAGAACCTGTGCCTAGTCAAGACCGTCCCATCACCACTTCATCAAGTCTGAGTGGTGTCGACGAACCATCTACGTCACCTCGAGAGCATTCTATCAATACACAGTCGAGCGGAAGCGATATCGAAGAGCCATTAAGTTCCCATGGAGACCGTATCGTCATCACGCAATCGAGTCGAGGTGGTATCGAGAATCCGTTAACTTCCGGTGAAG